TTCATACATATGAGATTAGATTAATCGATCATATAGTAAATAGAACTGATCAAGATTTTCGTCGTTGTTCATGTTCGAGAGAAACATTATTGTTGACAACATATGGACCGGGATCATGGGTTGAAGAATGGACAATATTGACATGGACGATTATTCGTCAATGGAAACCATGTGATGTTAATGAATATATCTGTGATATTCGATTTGCACATGATGGAAGACAGATTGGAATGACAGTGGAAATTCGTGGACAATCTCATCAGTTTCAGTTAAGAGATCGGTCAATGATAAACACTTTGAATAGAATAACATTTTCTAATTCGTTTTATCCCTATTTTCTATTATCCTTATCAAATGGGCAGTGGATGACTCACGAATATGATAATAGACAATTGTATATTATTGATAAAGGTGGTAAATTAGAACAAACTGTTACATGTTGTGATGATAAATATGTACGCTCCATAGCTTTATCTGGTTGCACTTGTTTAGCTGTTTTAACGCGAGACAAAGAACTCTGTCTGTATGATCTATGACGACTAAGAGAGTCTGTCGTTATACAAACGCGACTCATATTTATTACTGTTCGAACGTAAATCTCTGTCTATACTGTTCTGATTAGAAAATTGATCTTCGATTGGGTATTTGAACTAGTTACTACAAAGACCTCGTTAAATAACAGGTTCGTCCCACTTAGCATTTTTCTGAAATACTTTTGACTTGCCAGCACGGTCAGTTCTGTTTACTCTACAGTTGTACTCTGAATACAATGGCCTTTTAATACTCAAAAATATTCGTCAAATATCTTCGTAAATAATTATTCAAACTTTTTTGTTCTATACCACTTGATGGAGGAAAGTTATTACCATTTACTTGTACCGAAACATTAGGCCTTATAAATTGAACATTCGTAACCCTAGAGAATTAGTTAAAAAAGAACAGGCTTTTATTAAAACTTACTTTTAATGAACTCACTGACTAATTATACACCAACAGTGACTACTTGATATTGAGCTAAATAAAGAACTGCCGAAAAGCTGTGTACTACAAGAGCCTGAAGAAGTAGTTTCTTCTAACTGGCTTTCATTGCTGTATTGAATACAGACAGCATTTTCCAAAAACATATTTTTCTTCCCAGGTTCTTTAGTATGAGTTCGCGACCAATGTTTTTTTATAAGGATCAAGGTAAAAGTCGTCTCTGACCGTTATTGTGACGATCACATATTCCCTCACCGTTACCGATGTTCTTAAGAGTCATTGCACGAGAAAAACGCCTGTTTGCCACAGAAGCATGCTCAATGAATTTTTCAAATTTGACTGTGACTAGTCTCATC